CTAAACTTAGGTCAACAATAACGTACAGGTGTTACTGGAAAGCAAAGGTTTCAAGTGAGTTAAACTGAAACACCTTGTGGTGTGGGAGATATTTAAAGAAATAGAGGGGTGAGTCTTTGGTAAAGCGAAAAACCAATTTGTGGGGCTGGCGAGAAGACTCGGAAGGTAAGATGATCAGCACTCACAGGACAGCTCAGAACCACATCTGACTCCAGCCCCAGAGAATCTGATGCCCTCATCTGACCTCTATGAGAACACACGTGGTGTACAAGCATACATACAGATAAAACTATACACATAATTTTTTTTACTAGCTCCCAGGACATCTGCCTTGATGCTGTGCACATGAACTTTACACAGAAGTTACGCAGAGGTGTCAGTTGACGCAGGTATAGATGTCCTGTTTTGCTATTTACAAGTGGCAGTGCCAAAATTTAGCCCACATGTTTCTATGTATTTTAAGCTGAGACAAAAATCTTACCAGTGCAAAATCCCCACAAAGGCAGCTGGAAAAGAAAAAAGAGAAATAATTAAAAACTGTTTTATTGCTAAATGTCTTTAAAATAAGCACTTAGCACTTCAAATGCACACATAAGAGCTCACTGAGCTAGACAAGTCAGCTGTTTCTGCCTGCTTGAGCCAAGAAAGAGGCCCAGAAGGATGTAAAGTAAACTGAGCCATGCTCCTTCTGCAGCTGGGGAGGACCTGGAAGCTTTACACATCCCTCTTTTTAAGAGTGATGTGGCTTGATCGTTTTGTGACTTTTCAGTATGATTGTCTATTGTTTCTTATTCTCTCCTTCCTTTATATAAAGTGTTTTTTAAAGCATGTACACTATGCCCAGATAAGATTCTTTCGGAAAACACTCTGGCCTGCACAATCCAGCCTAGAACACTGTCCCTTGCACTCTTCAGTGATCATTAAATGTAGAAAGAAATCCCTTGTTCAGCCATGCCTTTGAAAGCTAAGTTGTACTATTCAGGCCCCGGTGAACTGCCAGCTCCTGACGAGAACCTGGATCCAGGCATGGTCAAGGGTCCAGATGAGTCCCATGCACGAGGCTAACAGGGGATGAGGAACAGGTCCAGTTCCAGGCTACTCTAGGTTTGCAGCTTTCCGCAGAGCTCCAAATGCAGTGACCAGGAGATGGAGCTGGGAGCGACGAGGCGAACAGAACAAGTTAAATGCCACAGCACCTCTACTTCTTCCATTGGCTCTTCCTAAATGAATGTTCTTTCATCACAATAAACTTACACTCATTTCCAAAGTTTTGAATGTTGGTTTTAGTAATTCCCCAGGTCCTTGCTGACAGGGAGGAAGTAACTCACTCAGCCACTGCAATAGTCACACAGAGACTTTGTGTTGCATTTCCCAGGGTTGCCCCAAGTACACTTGGCAAGACACCTCATAAACCACAAGCATTAACCTTCTAAAACTGTTTTTTAAGACCATGCACCTTGGGTGACAGAATAAAAGCAAAGCAATTCAATAAAGAAACATAAAATCACCATGTTGGATTTCCCAGCCCTGCTCCTCTGCCTACATAATGACCAGGCTGGGCTCATCTTAAATTCTTCTCAGATTTGCTTGTATTGTATCCGGATGGGCAAACTATAGCCTGCTCTGTTTTCATGCATGCTCAAGCTAAAATGCTCTTTGTTTTCAAAAGGTTATTAAAACAATGATCCAATAGATGCCACGCAGTCCCTCACACAAAACAAACGCTCTCTGCACCACTCTGAAATAAAAACGTGTATCCTGTATATTCAGCTGGAAAAAAATGTCCTGAGATAAAGTTTAGTTACCAATGACAGAGGGTTCCTATTTGACTACATTTATTTCTTTTTTGTTCCAGTCTCTTGTTAGTGATATATAGTGGGAAATAATTAAAATTACATTTTCAAAATAAAAACATGGAAGAGCTGGCGTCAGGGAGTAGGAACTTGCTCTGCAAGCATGAGTACCTTAGCCAAATAGCCAGGACCCATGCGATAAAGCCAGGCATAGCTGTATATTGTGTAACCCAAGATGAGGGGTGACGACAAGCAGAGCCTGAGAGCTGGCTGGCCAGCCAGACTACACTAAAGGGTGAGCTGATACTTCAGTGGGAGAACCTGTCTCCAGCAAGTAAGCTAGAGAGTGGCCGAAAAGGACAGCCTAGGTCCTGCTCTGGCTTCTGTAAGTGTGTGCGCTAGAGCGCACACCCTATACTCACATGTATGCACCCCACCCCACGCACACATATTCTCACAAAAGGCCTAATATGATCCACCTATCTTTCCAAAGATCCTCAAAATCCAACCGTGTTTCCCAACCCCTCCTGCCACGACTCCCCAAAAGACGCATGCTTAGATACATCTCAGTTTTCCTGTCCCACTTGTCTTTACCCTGCCTCTATTCTTTCTGTACATTGGTGCTTGTCTTGCAAATTTCCTTGCCACCTAATTGCCCACTTTTGCTCAGAAGTGGATAACACCCAAAGCAATTATCTTCATTCCCTCCTGTCTCCCCTGCTTCTGCTTCAATTTCAGCCGCTACAATCTCATCTGCTACCTTCTCTGTCCGTCTCTTCTCGCCACCCCTCCTGCTGCTGCTCTCATTAGACCATTGTAGTCTGGTTCCAGGAAGTTTTCCAACTATTCTTTCTGCTTTCGCTCTCAGTACCCTCCAGTCCACAGCACACACTTCGGCCTGCAGGGTCTCGAAAACACACACTGATGAAGCAGCTTTTCCGGAGGGAGAAATCACTCAGTGCCAACATCACACAGCTACCAAATGCCATAGAATATTTATAGAACAATTCATGTTTTAAATATATATAACCTTGTTTGTATAAAAAGTGAACACTTAGTTTTTCATAAAGAATGTTTGAACAGCCTTCCCAAGGAGCAACACACCAACTTGTGATCCAGTACTAAATGGTCAGTTCTGAAAACATATACAGACAAGTTATATTATATGGACTGAGAAGGTTATATTTATGTACTTAGGAATGTGTGTGTGTGTGTGTGTGTGTGTGTGTGTGTGTGTGTAACAGCATTTAAACCAAATGAGACCATAAATTTTTAGGAGAGCAAGGGGATGCACAAGAGGATTTGAGGAGAAAAACGGGAGGGGATAAATTATGCAATTTTATTATCTTAAAAATAAATAACAATTAAAAACAAAACAAAAACAAAAACAAAGAAAAGAATCCATGCCTTCACACAGAGAATTCAAATGCCTCACACCCATCACTGAGTTGGAAGCTTATGATGCCAATAGCATCCTCCTTCTATTCTTTATGCCCTTCTTTTCTTCTTAACTTTGCTTCCACACCACGCTGTCTTACTGCTAAGACAGGTAACCTGCCATTCTGTCAGCATCTCACACACACACACACACACACACACGCACACACACACACACACTATTCCCAGCTCCACACGGCCATATATCAGCCCTTTGCTATACACACACACACACACACACACACACTCACTCACTCACTGTTCCCAGCTTCACACGGCCATATATCAGCCCTTTGCTACAACTCAAGTTCCACCATTTTCTAAAAGTTCTCTCTCTCTCTCTCTGAGCTACATTTGCCTTCCATTCTAAAGTATTAACTGTCTCTCCTGAGCACAGCTAATAAAGTTATTATTCAGTTAATAAAGCCATCCACGATTTCCTTAGCCACTCGTGGGTAACCGTGTCCCACACCTCAGTACATTGGAGCTTGGATTTCAGAAAACAGCCCTTATTTTGTAGCTATGGCACGGGTCTGTTGGCATAGGCCGCAGATGGAAACCTAAGTACGAATTTCCATTATTCCTCAATTATTGTTAACACTTTAATGTGACAACTCATTTTTACCTCAGCAGCCAAATAGCATGTGGTGGGAAGAGGCGACAATAACCTGTATTGAGGTATTTGTGTCTCCGTTTATATCGGCAGTTAGTGTGACGAAGCTCTCGACTCAAATACCAGACAGCAGCAATACTTAAGTTACCTTAGAAACTACAGAAAGTTAGAAGTACAAATGGAGGAAATGCTTGCATGAGAAAACTCCTAGCAGCTGCCGTTAAAGCTCGGCAGAGTGGAAGGAAGAGGGTATCAGCAGGGGTAACGAATGCACCGTTTATTCTCCTCCTCCCTCCACATTTAGTGATCTCAGCTAAGAAACTTTGGTTTAAAATAGAGCATAACTCTGTCCAGAAGGTAGTCAACCACTTCTACAAACTTGTGTTAACTAGCTGCTCTAATAGGATTAATTTATTGTTGGCATGCAGGCGACCACTAAATCGGACAATCCCACAGATAGTTTGAAACAGGAGCTAGAAGGTTGAGAATTCCAGGCATGAGATTCTCCGACATCACCATCAACTCTTCCAACCCACCAAACACCGGTGAATGAAATCCCCAAGAGCCATGAAAAACGCTTCAAGGCTTTAGGATGGTGGGGTGGGGGGAGGGGGGTAATCCTGCCCGACTAGGACTGGAGCAGGCTCGGCTCACCTACACCAAAGAGGGTCCTGTGGGAGAAGCGATGATTCTGCAGTGTCTGTACCCTTTCGCGGAGCTGGTCCAAGAGGCTGTGGAGGAATTGGAAGCGGCCGTGAAGGAGGAGCTTGGTGACCTCTTCCAGCGGTAGGTAATTTTGCGCGTTCAGATTTCTGGTCTTCCGCTGCGAGTAGTTGCGGGCGCCCCCAGGCAGACTCCTGTCGCCCTGGAAGAAAGGCTGCTGCAGGCACCTCTTGGGCCTCTCTGGCGAAGCTGCGCGCTCCAGCGGGGGCTCCACCGCCCCTGCGCCCCGACTCCTCCTGGTTTGCGATGCGTCGGGGTCCGATTCCCTGAGTTTACTCCTCGTCGGCCCCACCATCTTCTCATAGTCTGTGGTCAGGTGGATGGAGCTGGGTCACCACAGAGCGAGGTCCGGGGGCCGGACTCACCTGGCAGCCTCAACGACCAGCCCCCGCCGCCGTTGCGGGCAGCCTCGTCGTCATGGCGACCGTGAAACAAGGAGGGTGAGCGTGAGGTCCAGGCAGCCTTGCGCTCTCCATGTGCAGTCCACGTGCACGCCAGCGAGACTTGTGAGTTGTGTGACCTGCCCCAGGGCCTGGCCCCTGAAGGACAGTACTCGTTAGCTTATTCTTTAAGTAACATGGTCTGCTCCAACGATGTTGCTCAGATCCTGACTCAGAGAAGGGACCCTGTTGTCGGGTGTTCATTACCTCCCTAAACCAGAAGCCACCCTGGTCCAGAAAAAGGTCTTGGTCTCACAGTTTCTCTACAGCACTATAGACGCCACTGTCACGCCACATTCCAGGTCTTACGTCAGTCTGTACGGCTGGAGTCCACACCACTTCACTCACCCATTTTAGGATTTATTGAGCTTCCAACAGACACAGTCACCATGGTGTTGACCAAGTTCATCTTCATGGAAGAACACCGCTTGAAAACGCTCATGGTTCCTCCATATCCCTCACAGCTTAAGCTTGTTGGTTTGACTCCTCGATACCTTCAGTAATATTTCCCAGTCTACCTTTCCCATTTTAATTTCCACTTTCCTGGACACAGATCTTCCGATGAATATAAGTGAAACACACACACATACAAACTTAAGCATGCACGCACATATACATGCCATCCCATGGTTTTCCCCAGCCTTTTCTCCTGCCTATTTGAGTGCTATCTTCTGACCCCAAGCCCTTTCTCTAGTTCACATGAACTATTCCTTCACTTCAGAGCTAGAGCGCTCACTGGTAGTTATATTTATCTACTGACTAAATCCAGTACATGTGAAACAAGTAGCTTGCTGCTAATTTATGTATTATACGATTTTTCTCAAGAGGCATTTCTTCATTCCTGGTACTGTTTGTTGCGCTAAAGATGTACATAGGAAATACAGGACCAGAAATATGGTACTGTTCTCATATTTTAACAGGTTGTAATTTTAATAGGTTGTAATTTTGTCTATCCAATTTTGAGTTTAAAATACAAGATATTATTAATTATCGTTTGGCAAACACACACAATTCATATTTAACGCCTCTTGTTATGTAGTCCAGGATGGCCTTGAACTCCTGTCTCAGTCTTCCTAATCCTGAGAGTACAAGTTTTGTCACCATATTAAGCTGGCAAAAACCTGTTCTTAAATGAATCCACAAAATCAAAATGGAACTCCTTATTTTTAATGTGCACGTTTTAACTTTGCATTTTGCAGCAATAAAGGGAGTGCAGGGATTACCTCTTCTCTTCTTGTTAATTTTCTGTAGTCTCTTTCCAGCTGCCTGAAGAGGTATGTTCTTACCTATGGTTCATCCCTTACAAATAAAATCTAGTCCCTTTCACCCTTAAAATAATCGTTTGCACAGATATCATTGTTCCATTATTTATTGTCCATTTTGAAATTAGGATAGCTTCAACATCAAACTCCAAGTTACAGAATTACTCGTGCCATACAGCATTAGGACCATTAATTCATTTTGAGTGAATGGCTAGTGATAATAGAAAATAAGATATAGTATTAAACATAAGCGGGATGTGTTTTCTGAATCCAACCCAATATGTATACTGTTAGGTTTTAAGTGTCAACTTGCCACTCAGTAGGGAGCATCACCTAAAGAACTGAAATTAGCCCAAATGCTTCAAATGGCAAATTCTTGGAACAGGGGAGAATACTAACCACATTCTTTCCAAAATATCAAAAGAGTAGACTATAGCCCAGTTGCTAATATTGTTCCCCTCTGAAACCTCTTGAATTGGACGTCCACAGTTCACACTGTCCCCAGCACTCTTGTCTTCCAAGCTCCTACTAGACTGGCCTGTTAAACTCCACCCACTTTCCTTGTCCAAAGTCCCCAAATCACCCAGAAATCTCAAAAGAAAGAAAGAAAGAAAGAAAGAAAGGAAGGAAGGAAGGAAGGAAGGAAGGAAGGAAGGAAGGAAGGAAGGAAGAGCGTGGTTAGTCCAACCACATCAATACACCACTCCTTGGTACCAACTTTTGTCCTAGTCACTTTTCTAATACCATGACAAAGCACTATGAAAGGGACAACATAAAAGAAAGCATTTAATTTAGAGATCATGGTTCTAGAGAGTAGTGGAGTTCATGGCCATGTGGGGAAAAAAACGGCAGCAGGCTATCTGGCATCTACTGGGGCAGTGGCTGAATTTACAAATTGAGAAAATAATCACAAGGCAGCAATCAAGCCAAATGGAATGGCATGGGCTTCTGAAATGTCAATCCCACTCCAGATGACACACCTCCACCAACAAAGCCATATCCTCCAACAACCCACACCTCCTAATCCTTCCCAAATAGTTCCACCAACTGGAACCCAAGCATTCAAACATATGTGCCTGTAGGGTGACATTGGAATTCAAATACTCCACCCATGTTTTAGAAGATAATCTCTCCCCCCCCTTTGGTTTTGCAAGACAGGGTTTCCCTGTATCTTTGGAGCCTATCCTGGAACTAGCTCTTGTAGACCAGGCTGGCCTTAAACTCACAGAGATCCTCCTGCCTCTGCCTCCCGAGTGCTGGGATTAAAGGTGTGCACCACTACCGCCTGACTGATAACTTCTTTTACATAAAGGTACTTTATCCAGTTATATATCTAAAATCTGTCTCTGCCCCCCACACACATTTTTGTTAAATTAATTTTTAAGTGCTTTGTGAAATTATAATGTAATCACATTTTATTCTTCCATTTGCTCCCTTCAAACCCTCCCAATATCCCTCTGTGGTAGTTTGAATGCAATTGCCCCCCGTAATATCATCGGAAGTGGCACTATTCTGAGGTGTGGCTTTCTCGGGGTAGGTATGGCCTTGTTGGAGGAAGTGTGTCACTGTGGGGACAGGCTTTGAGGTTTCAGATGCTTAGGATGCCATCCAGTGTTTCAACTGACTTCCTGTTATCTGAAAGATGTAGAACTTTCAGCTCCAGCACCATGTCTGCCTACATGCTGCCATACTCCCCACCTGATAACAAGGGACTAAACCTCGGAGAAAGCAAGCCACCCTCAACTGAATGTTTTCCTTGTAAGAGTTACCATGGTTGAGATACCATCTTACACCTGTCAAATGGCTAAGATCAAAAACACCAATGATAGCTTATGCTGGAGAGGATGTGGAGTAAGAGGAACACTCATCCATTGCAGGTGGGAATGCAAGCTTGTAAAACCACTTTGGACATCAGTTTTTTCTTAAAAAGTTGTGAATCAACCTACCTCAGGATCTAGCAATACCATGCTTGGGCATATACCCAAAAGATGCTCAATTACACTATAAAGTTCAGTTATGTTCAAAGCAGCATTATTTATAATAGCCAGAACCTGGAAACAACCTAGATGCCCCTCAACTGAAGAATGGATAAAGAATGTGACACATTTACACATTAAAGTACTACTCAATGGTAAAAAAATAATGATTTCTTGAATTTTGCATGCAAATGAATAGAATTAGAAAACACTATCCTGAGTGAGGTAACCCAGACCCAAAAAGATGAATATGGTAGGTACTCACTCATAATTGGATACTAGCTATAAACAAAAGATATGAGCCTATAGCTCATGATCCTAGAGAAACTAAATAATAAGGTGAACCCAAAGAAAGAATATATATATGTGTGTGTGTGTGTGTGTGTGTGTGTGTGTGTGTGTGTGTGTGTATACCTGGAAATTGGAAAGAGACAAGAGACAAGATTGCATGACAAAATTGGAAGCATGGGGATAGAGGGAGAAGGGAGAGTGAAAATGGAAGAGGGAGGGAGAAGGGGAGGGGAGGGTTGAGGAGAATTTGAGGGAATGGGATAGTAGAGAAGGAAGAAGAACAGAGATGAGAGCAAGGAAAGAAATATCTTTATTGAGGGAGCCATTATAGGGATAGCAGAAACCTGGCTCTAGAGAAATTCTCAGGAATTCACAAGAATGACCCCAGCTAAGACCCTAAGCAATAGAGAGGGGACCCAATCTTGACTATCCTTGTAGTCAGACTGATGAGTATCTCAAAGGTTCAAATAAAACCTTTATCCAGCAACTCTTGGAAACAGAAGCAGAGTCCCACATCAGAGCACTGAACTGAGCTCCCAAAGTCTAGTTGAAGAGTGGGAGGAATGAAAATATGAGCCCAAAGGTCAAGACCATGGTGGGTTCACCCACTGAAACAGTTTACCTGAACTAATGGAAGCTCACCAACTCCAGCTGGACTGGGAAGGAGCAAGCATAGGTCCAAACTAATCCCTCTGAATGTGGTTGACAGTTGCATGACTGGGGCAGACTAAGTGGCACCAGAATTTATCTCTACTGCATGTATTGGCTTTGGGGGATCCTATTCTCTTTAGATGTATACCTTGCTCTTCCTAGATACAGTAGGGAGGGCCTTTGACCTTCCACATAGCAATGTGTCTTACCCTCTCTGAGGAATGAATGGAGGTGGGGTGGGAGGGTATGTGAAGGGAATGGGAGGAGGGGAGAGCATAGGAACTTGGATTGTTATATATAATGAAAGAAAGATAATTTGTTTTCTTTTAAAAAATAAATACATATAAAAAAGAATGTATAGGCATAAAAACCAAAACAAAACAAACAAAAAAAAAGAAATGAGTTGTCGTAGTCATGGTATCTCTTCACAGCAATAAAAATCCAAAGACAGAAGTTGGTACCAGGGACTGAGGTATTGTTGTACTAGACCTGATCATGTTTTTGTTTGGATTAATATAGACTTTGGGAGTTTGGGTTAGGAAAATAGTGAAATGTTTTAAGTACTGCTTAAGGGGCCATCCTAGTAGGAGCATGGAAGACAGTGGTGCTGAGTGTGAGTTGATGAACTGTGGGGATCAAGAGACTTCAAAAGAGATGAATGTTAGTATATGGCCTAGAGACTGGTCTCAGGGTATTTTTGTGAAGAATGTGGCTGCCTTTTTGCCCTTGGCCAAAGAGTCTGCTTGAGACTAAAGTGAAGAGTTTTGGATTAGTTCCGTTGGCAGAAGACATCTGAAAGCAGCTTCATATAGACTCTGTCATGTGGTTACTAGCATTCATGCTTATAAAGATTTATAAAGATTTTTCTCCATGAAAAGGAGAAAACTAAGCAAGGTAAATTGTTGTAGTTTTCTGCACTTGGTTTCTATCTGTTGCAAAGAGAAATTTTCTTAATGAGGGGTGAAAATCGCATATTTCTGTGATTATAAGAACAAGAATTTAGAACATAGTTAGGAATTATGCTGGTTTAGTCAGGTGGTAAATGTAGGTTCTCCTCTGAGATCCATGACTTCACTAGCTCTGGGTAGTTGGCTAGTTTTCTGGTGCCAGTGGGTCTTAGGTTCGATTAGAGACAAGCTGGTTGCCATTAAGGTATGTGCACCACTATTGTACCCTTCATGCTATTGTGCCATTCTGGTCCTTGCTGTGATAGGCATCATAGCTGGGTAAGGTTGCTGACTGCTTCCCTTCTTTGGAAACTTGCATATTACCTTAAGTTACTACAAACACTAGTCCTCAGGGAGGAGGCATTCAGGTCATTTCCAACTCTGGGGCATAGCATCTTCAGCAACAGGACTTACTTTCCACCTCTGGGGGACAACCTAGGGCAGTATCAGTAGCCTAGGCTATAATGTTTGGGTTGTCTCTTGGACAGTCCTGAGTAACACCTCAAAAGAGGGCTTCTCATATTTGGTGTTTGGAGTTTTTGTTAGATGGTCTTTGACCTTTGGGAAGAGCATTGCCATCCCAGATGGAAAATTTTCATTTAAACTATATTATGTGTATTTATATATCAACTTACATGTATTACAGGCATTTTAGGTAGATTTTATAGTATGACTCCTTATGACTTCTTAGGATGTCTTTACTGATTGTTTTTATCCTCTCTTCTTGTATATTTGATTTTCCCTTCTTTAATTAACCCCCATCTGATCACTAGCAGCTTGCTATTTCCTTTCTATTGCTCCTCCAACCAATTGCCCCAGCAATAGCAACACCCCATTCTACTTTCTTGTTTTTTGCAGTTACTCCGGGATATATACTCACATCCAGAAATCTGGAACTATGAGCTGCAGATCCTTTTAGTTCCATCTGTTTTTTCTGAAAATTTCAAGATTAATTTTTTTTACAGATTAACACTATTCCATAGCATATATATACCACATTTTCGTTACCAGTTCTTCAGTTGAAGGATACATAGGTTTGTTTCCATTTCCTAGGTATTGTGACCAGTGAGAGTAGTTTCATGAAAAATGCAACTTAACCGTATAGCCAGCAGATGGCGATGGTGGCCTGTAAACCAGTATTTTAAAGTGGTCTTTAGAAAATACAGCCAAGGTTTCTGCAGTCCTTGTCTAAACGAGTACTTCCGGGGCAGTTTAGAACTGTAGTTGACACTCCTTTCTCTCAATTAGAAGCATATGCTGTTCTGCCTGGAAAAATGCACTTGAACATGAAAAAAAAATACCTATAATAGATCAGTGTACTAAATATGAAATTTAGAGAAACTCCAAATGTAACACCAAATAAAGGCAATTTCACTGCACATTTCAGATACCTAATTAATAATTGTATTTTGTGTACAGTGTTTAGTTTCTCAAATAAGAATGCCTTCCATTTGTTTCACTGAGAGCCCTCCTCTTCCTGTTGAGTTCAGTGTATGGCTTTTAACTTTGAGCAAATACACAGGCACAAATATCAGCAGTGAAATTTAATCTACATCTAACCTGGTTATACAAAGCAAAGTATATGGACAGTTCCATCATCACAATTTCAGAAATTTAGAAACTTTCCACTCACGACTGGATCATTTAAAACAACTGATTTTACCTTAATTAATATTCTTTACACAAAAGGTGGAATTTTGTTCATGCTGTTTCACAGTTTCTTCTACGTTCAGGTACTTTTTCTTTTTAGTTGCTTTTTTACTTTATTTTTTATTTTTATACAATATATTTGGTCATGTTATTTTTTTGTCACCCAGATTTCCCAGATTTTCTCTACTTCCCTACCCATCCAACTTTATTCTCTCTCTCTCTCTCTCTCTCTCTCTCTCTCTCTCTCTCTCTCTCTCT